CTCATAGGTGCGCATTGTGCCCTCACTCACATCGCTCGTGCGCGGCCGTTAGTCGACTCATTGAACTCGTTCACCACCAGAGCCCGTGCGCGAGGGACGCGAACTGCACACCACCACGATCCGCAACGAACACGCCTACTACTGCTGCATCGCCCAGCTAATGGGTTACCACAAGTACACGACACGACCAACGACACGACCAACGACACGACACGACCAACGACACGGCACGGCACGACCAACGACACGACCAACGACACGACACACGGCGAATAAATTAATGCAATTCTTTATTGCCAGGCTTCCGCTTAAGGACAACCGCCCGCTCTACGTGGCCGGCGACAGCCACAGCATGGCCACGGCCTGGCACACACTCAACATCAAGGTACATGCCCGATTGTGTGGACCTACCCTCGCGCAGCGTGTTTTTGTTCTTCCACAATTAACTGACGCACTTATCAAATTAATTGGCGCCAGGGCGAGGAGCGGCTGCTCAAGCCCATGCTGGTCACGGGCCTCAAGATGTGGCACCTGAGGCCCGAGAGCGTGTTCTTCCCCAAGAACAATTTCTACAACGTCGTGTCCACCAGTACGCAACATACTCTCTTTCTCCTGTGTGTGTGTGTGTGTGTGTGTGTGTGTTGCGTGTTGCGTGTTGTTTTCCCTGGGAGTGTGCTGACTGATGTGCCGCGTATGCACAGTACCTCCGCATTCGGACGTAGTTTTCCTGTTCGGCGAGATCGACTGCCGCGAAGGGCTCATCGTCTCCGTTGAGAAGTGCCGCTACCGCGACCTCAAGGAGGGCGCACAGGTACAGTGATATGTTATTTCTTCAGCAATTTTAATATGTGGCATGATGATGGGAGTTGAAGCTGGCGCATTGCGTGCACCTGCAGGTCACGATTCAAATATTTATCAACGTGTTGAAGGAGCTGAGGCAAAAGTACAAGTGGAACATCTACATTCACCCCGTCGTGCCCGTCCTCAACGAAACCAGGTACGCCCCCCTTCGATATATGCCTTATTAGTATTGTATTGTTTATTATTTATTATTCATGAAATTTCTATTATTATTTATGTATTTCTCCTTATTATTTACAGAAAAAATGCCCAATTTGATTGTTTGATAATGACATTTATTAATGGTGGAAAAAACGTAATAATCCCGAATACAGAAACATCGTTAAGCAGTTCAACGAGGTGTACAAGGAGCACGTCATGCGAACGCCCGGCCTTCACTGGCTCGACTTCTTCGGCGACCTTCTCACACCCGACGGCACCGGTACGATCGACTAGTTTTGTGGTCACGCGCATCTGTGATTTCTTCTCCTCCTCCTCACTTCACGTGTTGAACTCAACTACGGCAATTTCCACCAGGTTTCAATACGGCCTACGAGTTGGACGGCACGCACATGAACCCGACCTACCTCCCGCTCCTGGAAAAGGCCATGAACGCCACCCTGGGGCCGCAGTAAGCAGCATTCCCCCAACAAACCGGTTCAACCACACTCTATGCGCACACGACACACGACACACACGGCACACGCTTGCGTGATGGAGTGCAACAGGGCTTCTGCGATTCGAAGGCTCATGTGCGTGGGTCACTCCTCGAGCGAGACGCAGACGGACTTGTGCTCCAGGTAGTTGTGGAGGCCCTCCTCGCCCAGCTCGCGCCCGATGCCGGACTCCTTCCACCCGCCGAACGGCAGCGCCGCGTCCAGTACGTTGTAGCCTGTTGTGCGTTTTTTGTCGACACACACGTGTGTCAGCCGCGCGCACGTCTTTGTGGCGGGGGGGGAGCGACGTACAGTTGACCCAGACGGTGCCGGCTTGGACGGCGTTGGAGACCTCGAGGTACTTCTTGATGTCTCTGTGTGTGCGTGTGCGGTGGTGTGCGTGTGCGGTTGGTGCGTGTGCATGTGTGCGGTGTTTGTTTCCAAGTCTAGAAGGCACATCGGTGCGCAAACGCACTGAAGAAGAACGGGAGAGTGAGTACCGAGTGAACACAGAGCCGCCGAGACCGTAGGTGGTGCTGTTGGCCTTTTCAATGGCCTCGCCGATCGCTGCAGGCAGGTCAGTACACGACACACGCACACGACACACACCACACACGACACACACACACCGCACGATGCGTACAGGAGAACTTCTCGATGACCAGTACGGGGCCGAAGATCTCCTCCTTGGAGATACGCATGTTGTCGTCAACGTCGGCGAAGATGGTGGGCGCGATGAAGTAGCCCTTGTCCCCCATCTGGTATCCGCCCGCCACCAGTTTCGCGCCCTCCTGCTTCCCCTCCTGTTGCCCACCCGTCAGTGTCGTGTCGTGGTGCGTGCCGTGTTGCGTGCGTGTCAGCTGCGAGCCGTTGCAGCATGCCTTGATGTAGTCCATGATGCGGTTGAACTGCTCCTCGTCGATGACCGGCCCCTGCTCCGTCTCATCGTTAAACGGATTCCCGATCTTCCTCTGGTTGACCAACTCCGTAAGCTGTGTGTCGCGTCGCGTCGTTGGTGGTGTCGTGTCGGTCAGCGCTTATCAATGTTTGGTGGTTGGCGGGGTGTGGTTGATACCCTGTTGACGAATTTGTCGTGGATGGTGTCCTGCACCAGCAGGCGAGTCCCTGCGCAGCAGGTCTGGCCGGAGTTCATGTAGACGGCCTCGAGCGAGGTGACCGCCGTCTTCTCAAAGTCGCAGTCGTCGAATACGATGTTGGGACTCTTCCCGCCCAGCTCCAGCGTCGTCCGCTTCAAGTTACTGCACCGCACGCACACGCACACATCGTCACCGCACACGCACACGCACCACCACCGCACACGACACACATGGACGAACCTCTTGGCGGCGTATTTGAGGACTTTGCGGCCGACGGCGGTGGAGCCGGTGAAGGCGACCTTGGCCACGTCCATGTGGCACGCCAGGGCCTTGCCGATCTCGCGGCCGTGGCCCGGCAGGATGTTGACCACGCCCGGCGGGAAACCGGCCTCGATGATGAGCTGCCCACCAGTAGCGCTGACAGCGGCGTCTTGTCCGACGGCTTCAGCACCACCGTGCAGCCGGCCGCAAGCGCCGGCGCGATCTTCCACGCCTGCATGACCAGCGGGAACTGTATGCCCCCACCACCACGATAGTGACATGTTGTGTGGAATGTTGTGTGTGTGGCGTGTGTGGACTGCTTACATTCCAGGGAATGATGGAGCCGACGACGCCGACGGGCTGGAGAACGGAGTAGGCGTGGAAGGGACCCGCCACGGGGATCGTCCTGCCCCGGATCTTGTCGGCCCACCCGGCGTAGTAGCGGTCAGCGGCAGGTCCAGTTTCTTGGAGTGCGTGGCGTAGGGCTTGCCGTTGTCCAGGCTCTCCACCGCGGCCAGCTCGTCCTGGTGCTGCTCGATCAGTTCCGACAGCTTGAACAACAGGCGCGCCCTCTCCTGCCCTGTTATGATGCCATGCAACAACGTCGGAATTGACCAGGTTCAATTTTTACCCAGTAGGTTGGACTGGGAGAATTACCGGGAGTTTTGGACCAATTGGGAAAGGCCTTGTTGGCCGCTTGCACGGCCCAGTCGACGTCCTCGACGTGGGCCTCGGCCACGTCGCAGATCTTTTCGCCCGTGGCCGGGTTGATGGTGGCGAAGGTCTTGCCGGCCTTGGCATCGACCCACTTGTTGTCGATCAGCATCTTGGTCTGCAGCCGCGGCAGCTTCTTGTCCGACGGGATCTTCATCTCCGGGTCGAATAGCTTCATCTTACCCTCCTCCTTTGTACTGGTCATGATGGGGTGCTGTTGTTGTTGCGTTAAGTGTTATAGTGAGTGCGTTTCTTCTCCACAGGCCTGGGCACTGCCATAGCTGGGCGGACCCAGCCGGCCTGGTCACTGCAGTGAGCAGTCTGGGAAACCTGGTCGTTGTCTTGTTGCTAAGTGGGACCTTTTCCGTCGAAAAGCCAAGGCAAGTTTGAGAGCAACAATGATAAAAAGTTGGTGGCATGGGGCCCCATAGTTCGCATTTTGGCGCGAAAGGACCGTGTGTCTACAACTATCTCTTCTAATAAATCCCATGGGTACTCAGAGCGCTGCTCATTGGCGGGGCTTAGTTGTTGACATTGTCTTCTTTGTTGGAGAAATTGTCCAAGTCTTGGTGCACAGAGAAGATCTGTGTGGAGGGAAGGACTGTGCACTGTCAACAGCCAGTCAGTTGTTGAGAAGGTGCACTCAACACTGTGAGTGCTCACAGGTATGTGAACTCTCTGCAGTGTGTCCTCCACAGCATACTTGCCCCAGTGCAGAAATTGTGGTCATGCTTATCCAGTGTCTTGATGGTATTGATGTAGAGTTGCTCATAGGTGCAGAGATGGTCTTTGAGCATGGGGCAGGTGGTGGAGGCACCAGTGCCCAGGTAGGCTGCAAGGTGTGAGTGGTTATGCATGATTGTGACAGAGGTGGATGGGTGAGTGGGGTTGTGTGGGGCTGTGAGGGTTGGTGCTTGTGAAGAGGTGCTTGGTGCTGAGAGACAGTGTGCAGGTGGTGATAAAGGAGTGAGGAGAGTGATGTGTTAAGTGTGTGGCTGTGGGCTGAATTGTGGTGTGCAGGTCTGCAGGTGACCAGTGGTGGATGAGGCCATGGTCAGCTGCCAAGAATGCTCTCTGCACATCAGCCTGCAGTTGCAGCTGGTTGACCTGGCTGTGCAGTGTCTTTGCACAACCAATGTACTCACCCACAGTGTTGAGCTGGGAGACATACCACATGAAGCTCTGGTTGTGTGTGTGCTCTCATCAATCACCTAGAGGTTTGTGGATGGTCCCTGGAAGGGTGTGTGGGGCTTTGTTTTGCTCCTTGGCACCAAGCCTGCAACTCCTGTTCATGTCACCCAGGTGTGATTCATCAGCACAGACCAGATGGCATGTCATGCACACACATGCACAGGCACATTCATGCACACACTTGCTGAAACATCCCACCACCACAACAGATATATATTGTATTACCTGTAGTACAATAGCATGGAGCCTGTGCTCACTGACAAGAACTGAGAGGACTTTGCAGTGTTGCTAGATCCCAACATTCTCCATCTCCTTTGGATTAGTGCAGTTGGGTTGCAGGTACACCACACAGCTTGAGATAACATTTGAGGACAGGTAGATGATGCTCACCTTTTACAACATGCATACACACACTGCTTGGCCCATTCATGGCCCACTGGCCACACATTCATCACTTGCTGTATGTAGCCACTTCCCCATACATCATCTCCCCACCACCAATAGTCAATTCCACTGGCTGGGAGGAGAATCTCATGACAAGAGAAGGTGATAGAGGGGTGATGGTTGTCTGTGTTGGGTGAAGTTTGCTTGTGTGCTATCCTCTGTTTCTCTTCTTGCTCTGCAGCTTGCTCTTGGGATTGTGGGATGGTGCTCTACTTTGAAGCAGTTGCCAAGGAATAAGAGGAAGAGCTGGAGGTGAGAGTGAGCAGTTTCTGGGATGTTTTTTGGGTGGCCTGCCCTCTCTTCATGTTGGCATGGGAGTTGGTGCTCTTCTGCTGACCATCCATTCCTCTCTTGCCACACCTTATCTCTCAACAGTTGCTTTTCCTTTTGCTGTTCTGCTGCTTCTGTTGTGTGCAGCCACACCCAATGCCACTGCGCCAGCAACGTCGATGTAGCCCTCACTCACCTCGCCGGCCATGGTACCCACATCCTCAGCCATGACATCATTGTCATTGACATCCAATATGTAGCTGTCATTGTCTTCCCTGGCTTCTCCATCATCTCCATCTGCTGTTTTCTTCTTCTTCACCTCTGCTGTCTTTGTTTGCTCTACCTGCTTCCTTTGGTTGGTGAAGGTGAAGTGGCTGCTCATCACCTTGTTGAGTGACATGTAGGAAATGTTGGCCGGGCCATTCCTGGCGATGCCCTTGTGCCTGTTGGCCTTTTTCTCCTTCTTGGGCTTTGCTGAGGTTGAGCTGCTGTGTGATGTCAGCGCCAACTGCCTTGGCCTGAGGATTGGAGACTTGGTGAGCCCACTGTCACTGTCTTCCTCGGCGCAGAGGCTGTACATTTCATTGTACACATACTGGCTTGAACTGTACTGCTCGCTTGCCAATGTACTATTGTCATTGTACTCTTCCTCTCTGTGATCTCACCCACTGCTTCACACTTCATTCTTTTTCTTCTTCTTTGTCTTGGTTGTCACACTTCGTTCTGTGGTGTTGACCACCTCATTTGAGGAGGAGGAGGATTGATGGGCTGGTGGCAAGGGTGCGGCAAGCATGGCCTGCAGCCAGGCCTTGACCTCCTGTTGCTGCCTGTGCTCATTGCCGACGCTTGCGCAGGCGTTGTTGATGGTGCCCACCCAGTGATCACGCTCTGCCTCACTGCCGAAGCAGACCAAGTAGCTCTGCGCCGCGCCCGCCAGCTCCAGGCAGTTCTTCTTGCCCATGAGTGACGTCAGCTGCATGTAGATTGCCCTGGAGACACATCATGTGTGGATTGTAAGGTGTGTAAGCTCATATGTGATGATCATCACATCAATGCACATGCAAGGGGCCAATGAGCTGCTACTATGCACTTCCAGGAGTTGTTGAGGGCAAGCACAAACTTGTACTGTTCAGGTGATGACAGGTCACCTGATCCTGCTGGGTGGAAGTAGAGAAAGCCTTCCTTGAGCACCAGCCCATACTTCTTCCACAGCTTGAGCAGGCCTCCTTCCTGCAGTGCATGAATATACATCACTACCATTTGATCAATAACTGAATATATCTATATTTTTCTTTATTTATGCAACTAAAAGAAAAAGAATAAAATAGAGGGGGGGTTTGACCAGCTGGCATGTTGGGTCATTGGGCCTTTGGTACAGTGGTCTCCAAGTGAGCATGGTGGCAGCCTCCAAGCTTGGCAAGAATTTGGCAGGTCAGGTTTTTGGGTTGTGGTTATTTTATTTGAACCATTGCCTGGCAATTTACACCCCTCTAAAGTACATTCATCTTGGCAGATCATGGTGGTGGGCTTACCAGCCGAAGACTTCGCCCTTGGCAAGTTGGTCTGGACGCCAGCTGTTGATCACCACCATGCACCAATACACCTATCAGTGGTGGGGGCGAGGTGAGCTGATCTGTGTCAACCTCTCTTGTCTTGCAGACATTTGAAATGGTCATTGCATGGATGGAGGAGCGCACCTCTCCATGTTGATTATAAAAGAACTGACACCACTTGTTCACCCAAAACATCATTCCATTGCAATGGCACAGAAGTGGACGCAGATACACCACGCAGCTCACTCCCTTTGGTTCTTGCAACATCAGAGAGTGAGATTCAACACCAAGCAAACCAACTACATCTTCTTTCAGTTTGAAAAACCAATGCTGCTCCTGAGGCTGCTCCCAATGCTGCTCCTGAGGCCACACCAGATGCCATGCCCAAGGGTGCACCTGAGGTCACTCCTGAGGCTGTGCCCAAGGCCACTCCCAAGGCCATGCCCAGTGCTGCTCCCACACCAGGCAACCATTCACAGGTCCCCCCAAGGTTAAGGCCTATTTGGTGGCTCTGCTTGGCTACCTTTCTTCATCTCTGGGTTGAAGAGCTTCATCTTGCACTCCTCCTTTGTAGTGGCCATGCTGGGTTGCTTTGTTGTTGCATTGGGGTATTCCTCTTTAGTGTGTTACTTCACAGGCCTGGCACTGCCAGTAAGTGCAAGTCCATTTTTTGTTGAGGTATTTTTTAATAAAAAGGAAGCCTTACGTCCCAAGAGTGCCTTAGCCTTGTGCGCCGTTTCAAGAGAAAACGAAAGGGCCACGCAGAAGATGATCAGGTGGCGAGTTGGCCATAGGCGCTGTCTGAACTGAGATGGGCCTCCCCGCGAAGGGACAGGAGTAGGAGAAACTCCTCCGCATGGGGACCCACAGCGGCCTTGAATTCAGCACTGCTCAGCGTGCTCATGGCCCGCTCGTTGCTCACCACCGCTTCCCGCACCTCATCTACGCCAAAATGAGATATCAAAAATCAGATAATAATTGATATATATTAAAAAAAATAAACAACAGCCAAAAAAAGGCAGGCGACAGGGGAATCGGACCATTGCCATCAGCGAGACGGGCGAGTATCTCGACCAGCCGATCAAGCACGCAGGCGGGGACTGGCGCGTCGAGCCCCTGCAGCAGCAGATCCAGTCCCGTGGTGGTGGCTGCTTCACCACTCACTGGACTGACTGGCTCAAGGAAGAATCCCTGGAATCTGGTGCGTGTTGTGCGTGCGTGCGTGTCATTAGAGGTGGGAGGGGACGGCCATCGAGATTTGATGGTGGGTGTCGCACTGGTGGAATATAGGAAGAAAGGCTTTGCCTCGCCCTACAAGCAAGGCGGTGACGCGGGCGGTGATCCCGCCCACCAGCTGCAAAGCCTCACCGCTCGTTAGAGCCCGGTGGACGAGCCGGGCAGCGACGCCGGCCAGTTCTCGGCTGAGCAGCCTCCTGTACTGCGGCACTGCAGAGATTTTTTTAAGACAAGTTATAAACTTAAAATATAATTTCTTTTAAAAAAGAATAAAACAAACAAAATTCTATTAAAAAAAGAGGAGCGTACGATCCGCGATGATTCGGAGGAGGCAGCCAAGCAGAGCCACCAAATCGCTCAGGTACATGAGCTCCAGCTGCATGTGGTGGTACGTGATGAGAGCCAACAGGTGGTCTCCCAGCCCTCCTCCGACCAACTCTGCTGGCGGCTTCCACTCT